CGTACGATAGTAGTATTCAAACAACACTATATTTGTCATATCTATTGTCGACGACGCGTTTCGCTCAATCCAGAGCACTTCAGGCTTGGCTGGGATACAGCAAACACAACAGTTGTCGGAACACTATTTATATAAGTCATTTGATACAACAACTAACGTCTTATGAGAAGCGAAACTGTAATAATTTTTCGCTGCCTTGTAAAAGACGTACACACCATAACAATTGCGTAATGGCTTATATAAATAGTGTTTCGACCATTGCTGTGTTAGTTGTATCCCAGTTGGCTGAAGAGCTCTGGATTGAGCAAAACTCCCCTTTTTCTTGAAAATATCTAGGAGACTAGATTAAGAATGTGGTGTTTAATAATGTAATAGGTCTAATACTAATGTCTTATGACAAGTAAGATTATAACCCTTTATATCTTTGAAATTTTCTGTTTTAATTAATAGTTTCTCAAGGTCATACTATGGCTACTATAATACCAGTTATAAATCTTTTATAATACCTTTACAGCGCTTCTTTACTGATGCATTTTACATGGCAATTAACACGCAAGAAATATCCTGCTGTTCTTCATAAAAATAATAAGAAATAACGCTGATTGGACAGTTTTTTGCTCCCATGCATTCATTTAATTGCATGCGCTAAATAGACTGATCATGTGATGTATCGGGTATCTGCTTAATGAAATCCAGAGTAGTTTTTATACCATAAGAGCCGACGTATAGTCCGAAATACTTTTATCTCAGATTCAAAAAGGTTTGGTTTGTTACGAATTTCGCACAAAGCTACACGAGGGCTATCTGCGATAGCCGTCCCTAATTTAGCAGTGTAAGACTAGCGGGAAGACAGCTAGTCATCACCACCCACCGCCAACTCTTGGACTACTCTTTTATCAACGCATATTGGGATTGACCGTCACATTATAACGCCCCCACGGCTGAAAGGGCGAGCATGTTTGGTGTGACGTGGATTCGAACCCGCAGATTACGAGTCCAGCGCCTTAACCACCTGGCCATGCCGGGCCGGTCAAAAAGGAAAATACTGCTCCAGAGATGCTTATAGCACTATGGATATCGAGATTTTATAAGACCATTATTTTTAACACTGATTACCATGTTCCTGAAAAAGTCCTGGAAAATTATTTACATTTTGTTGTTCAACCCAAACGTCACCATAAAATACGTTATACCACTACTAATTATTAGTCCGAGGATAACCATGTTTTATGCCTTTGAGACAATGTAGTAATCTGGTGTAATTAACAATGTCACTTATGTAAGGTTTAAGGTGATTGTTGTTTTATGGCTGAGGTTTTCAAAATCACGTCGCATATACGTGATTTCAATATCAAACGTCTACATGGAATAACACCTATTTTGCGTTGTCCTGAGTTGTACTTTATAACATGCGCTGCAGCGCTGTACAGATGTAATCTTACGGGTTGTTTGAGTTATGATCGTCGAGGACTGTTATTATGTGACGCAATAAGACAATTGAAAATTATTGCATTGAAAAACTGTAAATAATGGGGTACAGTCTATTGTCAGGAGTCGCAATTTTACGTTTTGCACAGACTCCAAAACTTTCTCTCGGCAAGCACTTGAGTTCCGAAATTCTCGATTAACCAATAAAAAAGTGTTTGAACTACCACAGGTATCTTGCAAACTACGTGCCTTAGAATCAGGAAACAATAGAATAAAATATGAGTTTTAGAAGAACAACAAAAAATAATGCATGTTTTAGGTGCTTTTATCAATTCTTGTATTTTGTTTTATTGCTCTAAAGACTCTACAGTTAGTGTAACTAGATATTACTTTGCGCTTGAAATTTGGTAGTACATGCAAACGTAGTTCATTTACCTTTTTAAAACAAACTTAATACTTTATAACAAAGTAAACAGAAAGCCAGATATGTTTGTTCTAAAAGGACAATAGGCAATAAGATGAGAATTTTACATCCAAGTGACGAATAAAGAATAAATATTTGATATATTGTTTCACCTGTAATGGAACTAACTACCTTGGGGTTTTTGAAGAAATGAGCTTGTCCATTGACATATCCTTATTTTTTCATTTTATATTCAATTTTATGTAGGTGTACTTGTTCAACTTGACTTACTATTGAGATAATTTTACCTAATTTTCCTCAATATTTTATTAATGGGAGTACCACCTTTAAAAACATTTAGTCTTGAGTATGTTGTTTATAATTATTATGTAATAAATATTAAAAGACGATATTTTCTGAAGATAGATGGCACTGGTATCTTGTCCTAAAAACTAATGTTCATGCTATTGAGATAATTTTACCTAATTTTCCTCAATATTTTATTAATGTGAGTACCACCTTTAAAGAATCTAGTCTTGAGTGTGTTTTTTTATACTTATGAAGATGTAATAAATATTAAAAGATGGCATTGCCTGAAGATGGCACTGGTATCTTGTCCTAAAAACTAATGTTTATGCTATGTGAAAATCCGTACATTATCACAGGTCGAAATGTTTAATTTTTTTATTTTGTGATACAAGCGCAGAAGATGCAAAAGGTGACTACTGAACAAATCTATACTAATACGTGAAAAAATAGAGACCAATGTTCTGTCGCAACATGTAGTATGTTCCCTCAAAATAAACCATTTCTTTCGGCTTATAAATTGTTGTTTGCCATTTTTATACAATATATATGAATAAAGAAATTCGAAAAATTCCCATCCTAGAAAAAACTTTTTACTTTGAATATCTGACCACATAAGGTATTGACTGATAAAAACATACAAATAAATAGATACCTCTTTCCAGCTACATAGTTGCTGCATATATACATACATAAAAGTTGTTACGTTTACATAACTCTTGAAGTGGAAAAATGTTTGTCATTAAATTAACGCTTCTGTTAGAGCATCTTCCTTTAAAAAAGGAACATAAAATCTTATAGTCAATACCATCAAAATATTGTAGTGTTTTGGTAGGGAAGCATTCGACTAGGTTGAAATCAGAACCTTAGGAGAATGTAAACTTAACGTTATTTGTTAAGAGCTACTTTTAAATTCGCAATCACTAGACTTGCGGATTATAAACTGTTCTTTGTCCGTGACATTATCAAATATTTTCTTATCTGACTAGAAATCATTTTAACACTAAATTTACTGAAGATTTAGAGCATAAGTTAAGATTGTTTTTGTCTTTTTGAGATACTTCATTGTATAACTAGTATCATGAATTTGATGTGGGTTTTAATCGTAAACAAACATTTATTAAATTGTACGTACACTTTGGCAGTTTCTAAGGTGTTTAAGGTTAAACGAGTAAAAATCTTGTTTAAACAACTGTACAGACATTTAAGTACTAATACTTTTTTGTATGAAGAAATATTAAGAATTAAGAAAGTTTTGGACTCGAATAAAATTTGAGTTAATTCTATTGATAACCTAGTCCATGAGTATTTGAAAAATCTTTCTATCTTTCATGTTTTGTAGCTTATGGTTTCAAAGAAACTAGTAGAGATTGTTTAGTTTATACAGGATATCACTATTTTGCTCAACAAAAGTTAATTAAATACTTATATAGGATATCTTTACAAGTTCGTATACGATGTATTGTAAAATCTATTATTCAAATAAAAGTTTTTTTTTTTAGATTAAATGACGTAGATCTCGAAGGAAAATGGTCATTTGATGTTTACAAGTTTTAATGTACAGACTGTGCAAAGAAGTATATGGAATGCACCGTTAGTTGGTCATCCACTGAATAAAAGAATATATTCCACAAGGAAATACGTTATGCATGGTTCATCATGTATTTAGAGAATTTGTGATATTCTCAGATTCAGTTATTACCTTAGCGGTAAGAATAACAATCGTAATAGCAGGATGAATGATAGAAAAATGTTATGTAGTGTTAAATCTGAATTTATGATTTGACGAAGTTGAAAAAAGAAACTAGACACAATGTAAAAGAAAGTTAAAAATAATTTTTATTTTTTAAAACAAGTCAAATCTGAGGGGTACACGACACACCGTATAGCTATCTAATCTGGAGAGAGAAAGCTCTATATCAGAAAAAAAATATGAGAAAACTAACCACTATATAGATATCACAAAAGGCTTAAGTCTCCCAAAGTGCACTGATCATCTACGTCACTCGATGAATAAAAATAGGAAGAACACAAACTAAACCCTTATGCAATTGATCTCAATAAAGAAAATACATGATATTAATCCACATACTTCTTCAGTGATAGGAACCACCTTTGACAATGTATAACTAGGGCACCAACAGCTTAGCTACGTTCCAGAACTACCTTTCTATGTGTTTAATTCTACATGCTGACCCAAACAAACGCAAGTGTGAAAACATTTTTACATTTTGGATGAACGAGAAATGCTCACCTGTAACCTGAAAGGAAAAGAAACATCTGGTATGTGTCACATATTACAAATGTAATGCTACAACTGAACCTGACCACTTAACCATTAATAATTAGATATAAGAATGAAATAGATTTGAAGAAAGTATATTCATTCAGTTTGAAGCTGGCTCTTAACCAACAAAATTCGAATTATATTCCTCTGTTCAAACAGTGAATTTATAATTAAGTTCATCTGATTCTAGCTTACCTTTTTAGTTTACTTAAGAAAATGTGTGTTTATTTGAGCAATACCCGAAACTTCTCAATGCCCACCATCTTATTTTTTATTTACCATGTTCACTTATTAGTATACATATTATAGATAAACGTAAACTAATAAAAATAATTGAATCCACTGCTTTTTGACCTCTTGCTACCTCTGTAGTTTTTACAATGTAGTGGAAGGAAAATAAAAACTTGTGTGAATTTTAGAAACATGTTTTTTAATATTTAATTAATGTAAAATATTGCCATTTTTTAAATACGAAAACGACATTTTCTTTTGTCATTCTTCTCAGACTTTAATATTAGGCTTATCACCCTCTAGTGATGAAGAAAGCGAACTTGTAAGTTTTAGCAGCAACGGAATCGAGGTTCGCGATGGTGGGATATGGTGGAGAGTGTGATTTTTAAAATGTTAGGTAGGCTTACAGTATGTTGTGTAGGATTATATTTATAATTTGGAAAGTTATATTCCAAGGATTCTGAGAATTATGTCACGCCTGGCAGATTATTTTGTAATAGTGGGTTTCGATCATGAGCGAGCAAGTAAGTATGAAACATTTGATTTGAAAGATTGACACTAATTAAGTAAGAGTAAGAATTTAAATTATACTTCACAGTTACAGGTTAAAGGTTAACATGGTTATTATTTTTTACACGCTGAAACTGACAGTGAAATTAAATAGTTAGTTTTAACTTAACTATTAATGTGAAAAACTAGACTGATAGTAATATTAATAACGTCATAAAAATGATAATTTAATAATAAAAAAATGGATAAAACGTACCGATAGTGCAATACTAATACTAATAGCGTTATAATATTTGTGCAATCAAATTGAATGATAAATGCCTGCAGGCTATATCATAGTACATGTAATCCAGCAATTAGACCATGTCATGAGAAATGACTTTATCAGTTTTGGCGCAAAAGTTAACACTTGAAAGTCGAGTTTGAAGGTTGGATTGGATATATGACCATTAGTCATTACCCCATAGGTTTACAAGAATGTGCACTTGACATTATCTTATTATGAAAGTTGGTTTCTAACAGTATAACTATTTTGCATTTTAACTAAAATGTTTATGTATTTATAATAATTCTTAACTCTGTGTGTGTGGGTGAGGTTATGTATGCATGCTATGACCTTTTACAGAGTGATATTTAACATGGTATTATGTAATTGATGTCAGAGTTACCTACAATTTATTTTACTCTACATTGCTAATTTGGCAACAGTTCATGTTAGAGAAGAATAAATACAATATACCAAGATACTTAAAAAAACTGTATATATGCATTTCAGAGGTTCTAGAGGTTATGAAAATACAATATGTAACTGTAAGATGGACAACTGTTTTTATTCTTCACCAATCACCTTCTTGCACTCGAACTTATCTGAGCCAGATTAATGTTGGTAATTCATAGACATATCTTGAATACAAATACATTTGTAACACATCTGATTTTTTTTTTCTACAACAAGCTTGTACATTTTGAGATGGTCTAAAGTGCTTACTGTAAAAGATGCTTAAGATGGCTTAAGGTCGATAAGTCACATTAAGCACAGTTTACATTAAATAGGTTATATGTATGACTTAATGTGATTGTTATGTTGCTTTTGTTATTGAAATTCTCCAATCTTTTCTATACAATATTGGGAAGTGCCTGTGTTGAAACGTTACAAATTTGCATATGAATATTTCGAATTTAAGCACATAAAATTACGTTAAGCATTTTTTTACAGTAAGGTGCTTAGACTGTCCCACATATTTGAATAAAAGCTTGCCACATTTCATGTAGATACACTTAGTTGATTTGGAATTATAGTCAATATTCCTTCTCCAATATAGGGTTGGTCCAATTAAGGAATGCACATTTCATGAAACAGTACTTTATTCCTGAAATATCATTCAGTTATAAAATATGTATTTCTTCTGTTACAGTTATTCTTTATGAAATAAATGTGAAATTATTATTATTGTAAATGTAACTTCTGACATAATGAAACTTAGGACAATCAAGGGGAGTAAGTGATAAATTTCAAGCAGTTCATTAGAATATAAGTTACAAATGAATGTTGAAGTGGTAAAGATAAAGCTTTGTGGGCTGGTTGTTGGCCTAATTTATAGTATCTTCCAAACTAGTCATCAATTCTGGCCATGAATAATTCAGTTTTGATGTATTAAACAGTACTTTGAAAAAGAAAATGCTGAGATGACAAAGCATTTAATGAACAGAGACAACAGAAATAAATGTTTTTATCATAAATACTGTGGGTAGATTACATCATTGACACTTATAATAACTACCTGAGGAAATAACTGTCCATTGCATCAAATTATATACTTTTATTGTCATAAAGACAGAAAAGGTAAGTATAAACACATAATTAACACAATTTAATGAAGAGAAAAGATGATTAAATAATGTAAATAACAGTGTTGGCAAATAGCTAATTTACTTATCAACATAGTTACGAAAATGTGAGATATGATGTGAATGATGTTGAATGATAATAAGGGACTATGAATGACAAATGAGTAGAGTTGACTCCAACTGGATGCATGAATACGGATGAGGCTTCATATATGTGGTTTAGTTATTACTGGCATCCAGTAAGAACCAATGTAAGTTTAAGAGACAATGACTAACTATTTTCTGTTAGTGAAAATTTTAGCTTATTTAACCTTATATTAATTTTATAACATAGGAGTAGAGAATACAAAAGACACCCTCAGATCTTTTATATAGAACATATCTTATGCCCATTTTGATGCTCGGTATAAGAAAATTGTATGTGCTTTTTTTTACAAATGGTTGCTATGATGGGTATTAAAGAGTTCTTACCTTTAATCATTTACTCATTGTACTTCACCTCTGTATAACAAACTCTAATTGCTAAATCATGATATATTTCCTTCATGGTATAATGAAATGCTTGAAATTTATCTTTTGATAATTTTATTTACTAATTGAAATGTATGCCACACCATCTGATGGTGTCAGAATATTGTATAATACATTAAATTAATTACATATGAGATGGTAGAATGGAATATAATGTAATGATTAATTAAAACTATATCACTTGAAATAATTATAACTGAATGTGACATCTCATTATGAATAGTTATCCACTTAATCATGGAATAAATATCAAAATATTGATGTTTGTATTATATATATGTAATGTAATCTGTACAGAATCAATGGAATTACTGAATGGTAAGTTCCAAACAATCTGTCAGATCTTGTGGTGGGTACATCATGGTGTAATTTAGTAATTCTCAACTGTTGGTTTGTAGAAATATCCAGAGAAAAGAAAGGAAATTTATAATAATGATAATTGAAAATGTACATTGTAATGAGATTACTAAGTTTCAATATTGGGATGTATGATTTAAGGTGAAGGACTTGGTTAAGATACTTACCTACCCTCAATCTGATACTGAATCAGAAACTTCACATGCAACTATATATAGGAGTAAAGAAGGCCCAGTAGAAAATGTATTGATAAAGGAATCAGTCAGTGAAGATTATTTTATCATTTCTAATTATGGAGTTGCAGAATCTAACTCTTTAAGAAACTTCACATGCAACTATGTATAGGAGTAAAGAAGGCCTATTAGAAAATGTATTGATAAAGGAATCAGTCAGTGAAGATTATTTTATTTCTAATTATGTGGTTGCAGAATCTAACTCTTTAAGAAACTTCACATGCAACTATGTATAGGAGTAAAGAAGGCCTATTAGAAAATGTATTGATAAAGGAATCATTTGTGAAGATTATTTTATTTCTAATTATGGAGTTGCAGAATCTAACTCTTTCAGAAACTTCACATGAAACTATGTAGAGGAGTAAAGAAGGCCTAGTAGAAAATGTATTGATAAAGGAATCATTCAGTGAAGATTATTTTATTTCTAATTATGGAGTTTCTGAAAGATTTAGATTCTGCCACAGGCTCGATCCTTTGGACTGACCTCATAACCATTTTGTGCTTGTAATAGTTTTCATGCTATAACTTTTATATTAGTAAGCATGTGTTAATGTAATTTGGCAGATTATCAGTAAACATTACAATGTTTTCATACACAAAATATCAAAGACAAAGAGTATACAATGTTCATTGTTTGCAGTAAAACTTATGATGATACCAGATAACAACTGCAGAGATTATAATAATTGACAAGGTGGAAATTGATGTATTATAAGAAATAGTAAAACACTAGAATGCAAAAAAATATCTATAGTTACCAATATTTCATGATGGTTTTCTAATTCCATCATCATCTTGAATAACTTAAAAAATAATTAAAACCTTTGTAAAATAAGTATCATAACCATTCAAGTGAGAAGTTTTGATACAGGCAGAAGTTTTGAAAGACCAAATTAAAATGATTAATATGTTTACATTTTAAGAGTACAGGAAACACATGCAATGCTGAGAAATCAATAAATCAAACAACTTATTGTACTATATTGTATGTCAGAGGTGTATGACAAATCCAAACTTTTGTTTTTATTTTTCAGTGATTCCAGTCTAGCTAGAGCTAGTTCTAATTAAATAAGATTCCTGTTCATGTAAATAGGTTAATGATGTAGTGGTGTTGCTTATTGTTATTAGTCCATGTGTAACAAGTTCTGGCAAACACAGTTAAATGAGCAAGATATTCATCATTCTCTTTAAGTGAATAAAGAATAATGAATGTTAACATGCTACAGTTTTTTGATCAATCTTATCATAAGTCATGCTCACAACCAGGATTTATTTTTAGGGGCTTATTTTCAATTCACAAAAAGAAAGATCTCTACAAATATAAAAAAATACAGTTTATAAGGAAATAACATAATATTTACATTATAATTATTATTTTTTACCTTATTGTTTTAATTATGTATAAATTTACATCCATTTCTTAATTTCATTTTATTGTATATGAAATATAGTTTAGATGTATGGATACATATATCATAAGGAAAATGTTAAAGTATAATAATATAGTATGTAGAAGCTTCAGAATAAGAATTGGGGTTTTACTAAATCAACATTGAGGATATGAGATATCAAAATATTTTTATAATGATTACTGTCAGAGAACCTCTGTATCTTTAACAAGAAAACAACAAGATTTTTTTTTGGAATATTATTTTCCCATCATTATAAAAAGTATACAAACATAATATACTGAAAAATAAATGAAAATTCATTTAGCTATGGCAAAAGCAATATGCAAAACAAGAAGTGGAGAACCATGGAGTAATTGGAACAAAGTGATAAAAGCTTAGCTTGGTGATGTGCCATTAGAAGAATGATTTGTTTCTTAAATCATGTGAAAAGCTTGCTTTGTCATTTTATACTTCATTTGAAGTATGATGTTGTATATATATATATATATATTAATTTTTTGTAGAACTAGGTCAGGTGTAGAATTGATAGGGTTAGTTATATAATTTTTCACTTGACCATATCAAGTTTTGTTTTTAATGATAATTTTAAAGTTTGTTAAGCCATATTTACGGTTGAAAAATAAAAAAATCACTGAAAAGAAACGTTAAAAAAATGAATATAACACAGGATTAAAACTTATTAAATCCATTAAATGAAAACTTCTGATTAGCAAATAAAAAAAAGGTAAACTTGTTTATAATTTTGGTTGGTTAAAAAGTTTTTATTGTATGCCAGTGATTGTGAAGACAGTGAAAATATGTTTTTTTTTTGAATCAAAACAAAGACAAAATTTATGTACAATTTTATAAATATTTTTTATTGAAAGCTTTCCAAGAATGTAGAAAGGCATAAGAATCAATAATTGAAATCCGTAACAAAGGTAATAATTTTGGTTTCCAAAATGAAAAAAAAAACATTTCACAAATAACTTTTTTCAAATTTCTTAAGCTGAGAATTCATACAAACACCACATTTGAAACCAATATATTATATTTTATAGAAATTACATAAATTGTAGAAAATACTTCTTAAGTTCCATTGTGAAGTTTTTTTTTTTGGAAATGCAGTAAAACAAACCATATGACAGGTGAATCAAGTTGATGCATTTGGGCATTTTAGGGTTAAATATTATTGTTGTTGAATAAAAATCAGTTTTGGTTAGGCAGAGAGACCTAAATAAGTGAGAGTACATAATTATTTAATTTTTGATTTACATACTTATTTTAGTTAACCTATCAGTTTCTTACTATGAACTGATCAAACTCAAATGTGAATAAAAAAAATAATTGCTACATTTAAAAATTTTTACAGTCTGGTGAAAAAAAAAGATGTGTTAAAATGGAAAGAAATATAGAAAAAAACATGATGTTTGGACTGATGGTGGTGAAGGTATATGCACATAAATTGGAAGATGACTGAAACAAGTCTAAAACTGAAAAACTAATCACTATTGACTTGTAATCAGTATTTCTTTAAATATACATTAAAATTTTATTGTATTCACTACTGGCAACAGAGCACTACTTTGATGGCTTGAGTGACTCATCCAGCACTGTGCCAAGATCCATTTCTTCAGACATGCTATTGATTCCCATCTGTATTAAACATGTGATCCAAATTATAATAACTCATATTTTGTTGTAACATGTAAGTGGTTTAGTTCATTCAAGTTTGTTGGAGGATAACTGCAAAACTCAGGTGTATACATTTTTCTAGAATTTTGGATTTCTGGAACTTTGGATAAAATAACTGTCTTTTAAAAGGCATGATAATGTGATAGCATTTGTGATGATCACTGCTGTCAATGCACAGTATTGCCTGGAGTGATGAGTGACTTCCATTTAGTTATTCTGTTACTGTACCCCTTTCTATGAAGATGGCTTTTTATGGTATTATGGCACACTTATGTCTGCCCTGCAACAGTAGTAACTGTTTGATGTGGATTATTCTTCATGTTTCTTTTCACATCATGAAGAGTCCATTCTGTTGGCTTTGGGTACCCAGGCTTTGCAGAAACTGTTGTTTTCCAAAGCAACTGGAACTGATTTGTTACCCTATTTGCTCTGCTCAGCAGTATTGCAAGAGGCCTGGGGAATCATTCACTTTGACTGTCTTCCCATCATTCAGATATGCAACATCATGAAAATACAGTTAATTCTCCAATTCCTTTCATTTATGGCATGGCTGTTTGTTTTCTATGGTCTTTACCAAGCTATACTTGTATTTATACATCAGGATTATTTGTGTATGTCATCATGGAGTAGGTTGATTTATATTTTTCTGGATAGTCAACTTACTTGTAGGCTGTTTATATTTGTTTCAACAATTTAAATTCAAGAATGATTGATCTTTTACACACGTATACTAATGTTCAATTAACTGATGTTGTTCCAGTTTGGATTTAACTGGATTAGCAAATTTGTAAGTTATCTATAGTTCCTGACAAGGCTGTAATAGCCAAAAAATTGAGCTAAAAACATATATTCTGCGGGTATAAGTCATTTTTCATTTACATAGAAATGCTTAGTAATTTTGCTAAGCTACACTGCTTTAATATACAAGTTAATCACATTCATTGGTGAATATGAACAATGACTAACTATGAGGATTTTCAGTGTTACACTACATGTTAAAAGGTTTGTGAAATTTAAGTAATCTGGAAAGAGAGAAAATGAATCTTTTTTTTTTTTATGAGGAAACAAAATCAAGTAATTTAAAGTGATGAGCTATCACACAGCTTATTTCTTTGTAGTGTTCATTTTACAGCATGTTTGCTATTAGGCATCACTATTATTTTCAGAAATGATTTACTGTTGTATACTTGTCCATTAGATATCGTGAACTATCAAACTATCACCAAAGTGTAATTATATTGCATTCCTATGGCTATTGCTTTGAATGACTAATAGCTGATTTGTGGAATGCTTTCACATACATTTTACAATTTTTCTTTTGATAGATACTAAGTAATGATAATATAATTTATAAAAAATTCAAGGGTTCTTAATATAAAAAAAAATTAATTTAACTAAAGGAATTAATTTATTTTAAGTCTGGGTGTGATTCTTTATATACAGGGCCATACAATGGGTAGTGCAAGCAGTGTGTTCACACAGGACATCAATTCAAAGGAAGAGGGGGTGTTGATTTCCCAACTGATTAACAAAGCAAACTAATGGGGGGGGGGGCACCATCAAACATTGATATGAAACTGTTGTTTATGTAAGAAGCTCAAAAAGTTATTTTGAAATCATTTTTTTTTGCTGATATTTTTTTTCATACTGTTAGGAAGTGGTAACAGCTATGGGAAAGTGTTGCAGCGGTTTCCAGAGAAGGACTGGGAAGATACCCCATTTTTTGATGGAATAGAACTGGTGAGTTTTGATATTTGGAATATTTTGTGTTAACTTGTTTAATTTAAAGAGATTCAGGAAACAAACCATTAAATTCAAAGCAGAGGGAGTTGATAAATTTATGATAATGTATAACTACATATCATAAGCAAACAGATTTTTAATTTTCTTGCATAAATTATCATGTGACTAAGTACAACATACAGGGTAACCATGAACCCAGAGATGTTAGGGAAGATTGTATGTCCCCACCTTTTTATCTTGGAATTTGCATGTGCATGCAAACATACTACTTAGCTATAACAGTTATTAGTGTATCTTAGCATATTCTTAATCACTTATTCTGTGTTATCTTATCCATTGATAATTGTCAATTTATATTTGATTTTAGATCAAATATTCTTTTATTAGTGGTTCTTACATGTGTAGGTCTGGAAAATCTGGAATTTTGTCTAGGAAGTCAGAAAAAAAAACATTTTGGAAAGGATGTGACCACCTTGATACAAAATTAAAAATCTGTTTGAAGTATATCAAGAGTGTCAGAATGGTGGTACTGTTAGATCTTGATTTTATCAGTTTACTCAAGACTTGTATTTTTATAGTTAAGTAGTTTATTCTGATGTGTAAGCTGTATATTTTAAGTAGAATTTTTAGAAATATATAGTAATGAAAATAATTATGGAAACACTCAAGTCGTACACACAACAGGCAACAAATAATGGCAACTAGATCGTGAATTTATAAATGGTACAAAACATTATAAGAGAAAATACAGAAGGAAAGCTATTAAATTGTACAATGCACAGAGCATTACAATTTGTTTTCATGCTGCTATACAGTTTATCATTGTATAATGGTGGAATATTGTTTCAAATGTCCTGTATTACTCTCCATAGTTCAGTCAAGTTGCTTAGTCACCTTTTGTACTTCTCATTTTCTGTATAAACCCATACAACCTTGAGAATGTTTTTATCAGGACCTTGTGTTGACTAAGTCCTGGTTGTGACTGTTCCATAAGCCTCTGTTGCATTAAAATATCATTTCACTACATTTATTGTATTTTTAGGTTTATTTTCTGGCTTAAGGGAATTATGATGGATCAGAATTTCCTAATACTTGTTAGCAGTCAGGGTGCCATCAATTTTGTGTATTTATTCATTGCCTTGTAAAAGAGTGATGATTCATGAGCTCAAATGTAGAGGGAGTCATTGCACATGTGTTGCCTAGTTATGCATTGTCCTTTTCCCTACAGATAATTGGTATGTTCAGTGTGTTTTAACAAAGACTTTTTTGTAATAATTCCCAAGCATAGATTTGCGCTAATTTTTGATTTATTTTTCACAGGTTTTGATAGGGGTGTGAAAGCACTTCCACATCTATAGCAGAAAAAATTCTGAAACTTAGGAGCTACTTATGCATATGTTAGCGATTAAATTTCACTAAAACAGGGACAGTCAATCAAAAGAGGAAGTATTATAGGAGAAAAAGTAAAATTGGACACTCATAACTTATGAAATTCTGAGAAATCAAGTGTGACCGACCGACACTTGGCTTTTATAATTATTATTTTGACAACTTTTATAATTTTTATGATAATGTGATTAAACAACAGTTAAAAGATTATAATTTAAAACAAGGAAATTAAATATATTGAAAAATTTGATTTAGATTAAACAGTAGGCTAACTTGTGAGATACACTAGTGCCTCGATTATTCGCTGTTTCTGTTATCTGTGATTTTTTGTTTTCTCCAAACTACAGATAATCGAGGCATCAGTGTTTACTTTCACAGCAATGAGTGCATGCTAACAATCCTATGATATCAACAACCACTTGATAGTATTGCCTGAACTAACTGCCTTTGGTCCCATCTTTGTCTAAACACACGCACTGATTGGTTGAATTGAGAGAAAGAAGAAAACAAAATGGTTGAACATTAATCACATGTTGTGCAACCACAGCACTTCATTCCTGAAAAAAAACAAAAAAACACGAAGTGCTGATTTCGTGAATAAATCCTAGAAACAGTTTGATTTAGGACTCAAAGAATGCAAAAATAGTATTAAAAAATTTTAATTATATAGATTTTAACATTAGGGATGGATAAAATTGCTTTATCATGTGTCTTAGACTGAAATTGCTGTCATTTTGCACTTTTAATATTATTCACCATTGTATAGGTTTAATTAAAATGGAGATATTTTGTTATGAATTTTGCTTTGATTCAACTACACAGCATCCGTACTATTTCCCATGGTGCTGTGGGAAAAAGTGTTATGTCTTGTTTTATGGAAACCGCTACACAGCAGTTTGACTTGGATGTTGTGCCATCTATCTTTATATTTGACGAGGAGGACCTTTTGGCAGGAAAAGTAAAAAAAACATCATGGCCAAACCAATGCAATGCATAAGAAGTTACAAATGTCTATACTCATAGGCAGAATTCACTATTAACTTTTATTTTAAGTGTTGTTCAAGTTGCATGAGGATAACAAGTACAAAGTTTATCGGCTACACTTTCTAGTCTCTTACAAACACTGTAACACTTTACCAATGAATTGCTGATGTGGCAATGACTTATCAGGGTGTTTTTCAGGAAATAACTGACATGTCTCTCTTTCTCTCTCAGAAACATGTAACAAAAGTTCTACTTTCTTGTGATATGTCTAGTTATCCATTATATATCTTTTCATTTATGTGAAAAATAAAACAAATCAATTATAAATAATAGAATCACCATGAGTAGAGACTTTTGTGACACCAGGTAGAAAGTGTTGAAATGTTACCCCTGTTAATAAGTATTAAATGAGAAAATAAAGATAAACAGTTCTGATGGTTTTGTGCAAAAATATAAGGGGAAAAGATTTTTACCGTGTGTTTGAGTCCTTGGAGCTCGAAAAATGCAAGTGCTTGCTCGAACCCCAGTAACAATTTCATTTTACAATATCCTTTTGTTGTATATAGGTGTTAGGTGCTGCTGACTAATTGTCATTCATCTGGTCAACAGTTATAAATAAGGGATGACTGTTTATGTTGGAATATCAAGTACCAGATTCTGTTCTCCATTTTTTACAACCCCATGTTGACTGTATAGTGTTAAAGGCAATGAAAAAGGATACTTTTTGTTTTGTTGCTTTCTATTATTAATTGTGATGGTATTGGCAAAAGCTCTCTTAGTTTACTATATTTAAAACAGAGTACTTGTATGTATGTGTGTATATCTTGGCATGATAAAAAATGATTAAAAGTTTGTACTTTAATATAAAAATGTTTTAGTGCATTGTTATAATACTAGGGTGTTATGTGTGAAACAGACTGAGTGATGAACTAAGCATCATAATAACATTAGTACGTGTTGCTTGCATTTGTGGGACATGAGAAGCATTGATAGTTTGGAAGTTTTCTCTTGCTGATTGAAACTGAACATAACCCTATATTAGATATTTATATTGTTTGCCTTAGTTTTGTCAACCACAAGGATGGAGTTTCTCCACCACCCGTCAGCAGCCCACTTTCTTTGTATCTGTTCTGACAGACATTGATGCCAACCGTCACTACTGTGCATGTCTTTCTTTCAATGAACCCGTGGCCATAACTCCCAGCAAACCACCAGATGAAGAAGGTGAGGAAGAAGCACTGGACTCTTCAAGTGTTCAACACCATTCCATCATGTATGCCCCAAAGTGTTTAGTACTTGTCTCCAGCCTGGACTATTTCACTACTTTTAGAGTGAGTAAAATATATTTTAAATGTAAATGTTCATTGAAGCTGACCTTTATGGTTGATAATTGTTTTTTTTTGTAGTTGTTATTTACTTTTTAATATAGTATTCAAAGATGTTTGGCCAATCACTTGGTAGGTCTTTATAGATATATCAAAATAGATTTAGTTTGGTAAATATTAAAATTTTTTTTTGAATTATTGAAGTAGAATTCACAATTTCATAGTGACAATTTTTTATTGGGTTTAGGACATTACATAAAGTTTTAGAAACACAAATTAAATATTCTTTGAATTTTCCAGAACTGTTTGGGTATTATATACAGTGTGTACATAGAAAATATGGCAGTTCAGATGGAAACTCTCATTGGAAATATTTTAGGTTGTGTTCAAGTTCCTCCACCTGGTAAGTAAACTTAAGCCTAACACCCTTTTATATATTAAGTGAATAGAATTTGAAACACAATCTGGGTTTATATTTTGGATATTAGTGTCAGTTAGAGTATACTTATATTTGGTACTTTGCATCCTGTTCGAGAAGCTCTGTTTGTAAAAGTCTTGTAGACGTTTATAAAAGTGGAATTAAATAAATAATTTTTCTAAGAAGGATAATCACTAATGTGTGCATTTACCACAATGTGTATTATGTTGCTTAAGTGCTTTTATTTTGATTAATTTAAAGTATATTTTCTTCTCCATATTTTTTTTTAAAGTATGGTAAAAATAAAAGTTAAGCAAACAGAAAATCAGTTTTTTCTTTTCAATTAATGTTTGTCATATGCTTTTATTATGTTAAAGAAAAAACAATTAATGTGATCTGATTATTTTCACCAAAAGTATAATTGAAAATGTAATTTTTAGGTGGAGGTCTAATTGTACTTTTCATAAAAATATATTATTAATATCATCATTAAACAATTAGTGCAACAGATAACAAATAATCAATTATTTGCAATCCCATAATATTCACACATCTAAATTAATTTAGGGTATTAAGTGCTAAAAAAAGATTTAAGTACCCCATAAATGTTAGTTAATATGATTTATTTTGAAAAAAGTTTTTCTGAAGAAAAAAAGTTGATTTTTGGATAGCACTTTAATCGAAAAAAGTCTATACACCTTTCTAACTTAATCAGTCTGAAAAGCCAGAAATGCTACTTATACAACAATGAAAAATACTTAACTTATTATAATTTCTGTATGTTTATAAATATATTTTTAAGTAATAATTTCCACTGAAACCATTATGTATTTTTATGTTTAAGTTACTTTGAGTTTAAAATTTTCATGATCCTTTTATCCAAAAAGAAAGAAGAGATATATTCATAGCAATAAAATTTTTTATCCGAGTTTCAAAAATACTTGGCAGGTAACAAAAACATTATTTTTAGGTAAATAAGATATTTTTCTAGAAGATGATTTGCTGAATTATGCCCATATTATATATACACACACACAAGCATATTGAAAGTTTTTCATTAAACTTGAACAACTTTTGCAAATACAGTCAGTTTAACAATACAAATGGATATACATAAATAATTTTGATCTTACTATTCAGGACCAAGTTTTCAAACATGATTTTTAAGTGGGTATTTCTACATACTGTATACTGAAATAATGGTGCTCTATTTCTTTAAACATTAAACAAAATACAGCATATCATATACTAAAAATAATATTTTTGCTTTTGAGTAAAAATTAAAATGCTCAAAACTATTATATTTAAGATTTAGGTTTTTTGAATGAAACAATAAAAAAAGTGAATTAGCAACAAAAGATGTAATTTTTAGGGAAAATAAAATATAATAAGTGTAGTCTCATATGTAATGACACAATTTAACCTTTTCACTGATGAGAGGATGATATTTCCATATTGGCTGACAATTTTACTAGCCCAAGTAAGGAAAGAAGTTATCAATTATAATTTTTATCTAGCACAGCCAATCAAATAATTTTCTGGAAAAAGAAACATAACCATCAACACAAAATTTATAAAAGGGTTGATGGGTCTTTTTTTTTTATGAAATTTTTGAGCATAAAAAAGTTTAAATATTAGAAGCCATGATGATGCTCATAAAATTCCCTCAACTTCCAAATAACAATTACACAGAATTTAATAAGTGTTTGAAGTGTTGCAAGGCTTCAACTAATACTTTAAAAAATAACATGACTGCAGTTTTTATTTAAGAGTCAATTCTTTGCATCTTAACAGACTAATGTAAAAAAAAAAAAAAAAAAACTTACACTGTCAGGTTATGCAAGGAGATAAAATGTAACCCTAAAAGCTTGCCAACCAATAAAATATAAACAAATAACATAAAATTCAATGAATGTAGACTTATATCATATGGTTACATTAAATAACACTAAAGTAAACACAAGTAAATGGTAAAATTAAACAAAAACAAAAGAATTGGATATCTCAAATAGATGTACCTATCAACTATAGTGTACAAGCTAACTGATAGTTATCTTCATTCCATGCTAATTCTGATATATTTACATACTTTCTTTTGTTATTTTAAACAAGACATTTCAAGTCAGTTTATTTTTTATTCACTTGTAGCTGATGAACAGTTACTATAACAACAACTTCTTACAAAATTGACGACTCTTTCTACACCATTTATTGGAAGTTTTTTTCCTTTAGGTGGACCTCAAGTACGATTCTCAATAGGAGCAGGTGACAGACAAGCATTACAGCCACCACTCAGTACCACATTGCCTGTAACACATGCTACTGTATACCAGCTATTTGAACAACTAGGTAGATTTGTTTATAATAGACCAGAACACATGGTATTTCTTTTAAGTTAATGTAATGTTGATCATTTAAGAAGGTTCAAGATATATATAATTTACAACTGTAAACAACATTCTGTTGGCATTGGCTATGGTAAACATAGTATGGTTGAATTATCATAATTATACAATGTTCTAATTATTAAAAATCCAGAAAGGACTAGGTAAAGAATGTAGTGTTAAAACATATAACAGGGGTGATACTAATGTCTTATGACATGTACAGTTAATTATAATCATGCTTTGCCAGCTTGGAAAAGGCTTTCACACCATAACAATTGTTATTGTAACAAGTAGCTTATGTAAATAGTGTTCCAAAAATTACAGTATTTGTGATGTCCCAAATGCCCTGATGAGCTTTTAATTGACTGAAATGTATTATTGGCAATGGATATGGAAAACATAGTGTGGTTGAAGTACTATTATTATACACGCTTCTAATTCTTGAAAATCGGTAAGGGACTAAATATAGAATGTAGTAGTAAAAAACATAATAGGCCTAATGTCTTATAACAAGTACAATAAATATTGACTGTAATTCTGAATTTCTTTATCTTCACAAAATGTGCAAACTTTTGTTATGTAAAGATCTCTTGTTCAGTATGCTTTAATTATACAATGATTCA